GAGATGACTTCTAGTCTAAAATAATCCTAAAAGGATTTGGTCTTAAGGCCTGCCTCTCTTGAAATATTAAATTTTCAAGTTCTTGGGTAACAGCGTTTTTTGATCATGTATCACTGCATTATACCACAAACGAAAACAAATTGCAAGCTAAAAGCTTTCTGAAAAACTATGCTATTATGATAGTACACATTAGTCTTCTTTATAAATGACAGCGATTACACATTGAATTCTTTTTGTACGATTAGTTATATTTGAAATGTTGCGATCAAGGAGCTTGATAGAAAATATTTATGTATGATAGTTATAAACTTCGACAAAATCCTCGAAACAAAAAAAAATTTAAGACACTAACTACATTGAAAAAAGAGCAGCAAGTGACAGTTTGACTGCTGGCAAAAGCTACCATCGACATTAAAACAAATTTTGCTGATGGACTCGAGATCTCCTGGATAATGATCGACGTTCCTTTCTATGAATCCTGAATACTTTATCATATGTATGAGCATAAATGAGGACAACTGGTTGTGAATTTAAGCGTATTATATTGTTTCGTTTAAATAAGTTAATGACAATATCATCGAGTTGACTATGATCGAAAATGCGTGGAGCAATCGATTTTGATTATCTATGGAAATAAACATCGAGAGGTTAAATGCGCAATATAGTATGAGCAGATATTTCTAGTCGTTTACATTCTTTAAACCTAGAGTATTTATTTAAATTTCACTAGTTGGACCAATAATCCGAAAGCAAGAGAAAGTTCACTAGAGGAGACGGGTGAAGAACGTGCTACCTCCTGTATTTCACTAATGAGATGGTGAGCTTCTCTGGAGAACTACATGTTAGAGCAATGTTAGAGGCAGAAAAAAGTGTTTTTGATATCTAGTAAAGGATATATCGTTTTATTCTACAAAAAACATGAAATCGGTCAAGTCACTATCGCTCATCTTTCACTTGGCCTCCTCCTAGCAAAGACAGATGGGACCGACGAGTTTTTCAGCAAGGGTGTGGACGTGGGTTCGTATGACTTCTTCTACCACTAGTATAGTCACACCCACACCCACATGAGAAGGGATAGAAATGTCTTTTCTCAGAAAGCTAAGTATTGTTATATGTTGAAATATTCGAATTCGTAAGAAACTTTATTACGCAAATCCATCTTTTGACTGTTTCTAGTATTCATTGTAGCAAGAAGAACTTGAAGATAAATCGAATAAAATAATTTTGGAAGGTATTCCATGTACCATTCATCCCTTAAGTCATGTTTGTCTTTAATAATTATATAAACATTATATGAACTCATTTATTCATATGATGAAGTATTTACATAAGTATCTTGTTGAATTACAGGTTTTCGTTGTTTTGTTCGTTTTTCTCGTCGATATCTTTCTAAATCTTCACGTGTTGGATCAATACCAAAACAATATTTTAATATATCCACTATGATAACAAACATAACAACGCATGACATCGCAATTATTGCAACATAAGAAAATGATTTTGAAACAATTTTATAAATCTTAATTCTTAGTGAAGTTATTTCACAAAGCCGACCTGAATAACTATCACCAAGACATTCACATGTATAATTTAATAATAATGGTCGACAAACACCATTATTCCAACATATAATATTATTACAAAAATTTATCATTGATTCACAATTAATTCCTTGCCAATCTTCATTACATATATCTAAAATAAAATTAGATCTTTATCATTTGTTTTTTGATAGTTATTCGATAACATATGCATATACCATGATAAAGACAAGTATTTTGTTTACAAGGTCGATAATCAAATTCACAATGAATACCACTGAAACCAAGTTGACATGAACAAAAATAACTAGGAATATTTGCTTGAATATTTGTACATATTCCATTATTTTGACAAGGTTTGAATATATCACATAAAGTATTGGAAATATTAGAATTGACATCAATGTTTGTTGTATTCAGACAAGGTTTTGGTACAAAGTATGATGATATTGGTTCATCTAAAGAGTACATAACAACTGAAATAAATAATAAAACAAAATAAAACGAACTCGTTGATGTTACAATCAAATCTATTAAGAAAAAAAGAATTTCTTTATGATCAGAAGAAAAAATGAAGCTTACTAGTTGTATCATTCGTATCTTTGATTGTTGTATCTGAAAGTACAAAGAAGTTTAACTTATCATTTATATAACTAAAAGCAAATAGTCTGTTTAAAAAAAATCATCTGAATACAAGTGCATTTATATATATTTACAATTATCTCGTATTGTGAAACACGATCTGAAAGAAGTGTTGAAGTTTTTACGGGTAGAAATTTGGACCCATCCTCCACTTTTTACAAACTGTGACAGACAGGACTTAGGAGTCATTATAGAGTGTGATAGAAGACTTCAATGAAATATCAGAGATTATGCATAGCTAAGATATGATTGAAGTATATATGGAGTATCATCCTGTTGAAAGTCTATAATGTAAGGTACATCATTATGAAGAAATGTACATCAGTATGTATAAAAAACAACAGCGTTTAGAACATTGGCTATAGCATGTACATCGTGTTTCACATTTTTAATCCCACAATGGATTGCACTAAAGCTTTCTTTTTTTTCTTCTAATAGTACGCAGTATTGAAATCTTACTCCTTCTCTTCCCTTGGATAGAGTACTTGCTCAGGAGTCTACAATTTTTTGATAATTCTATGAAATAAGCTGAATTATTTATTATAGCATGAAATTTGTTATTTCTAATTATCAGTTGTCTAGAGTGAAATTGTTTCCATTATTCCATGATATGATAATCAAACTTGTTATAGATTTGACTTCACGAAAATATTAGAATGTATCTGTTCATTAGATAAAATAGTTTCCTAGAAGACAGTATTATATTTCCACTTACTAGCAATATATTGAACAAAAACAATCTTCGATTTGTTTTGATTTAGAAGTATCAGGGAAAAATTTATGTTAGCAACGTGATCCAATAAAAACATACGAAAACTATTTTTTCAAACTTAGTTTTAAATATAATATATGACAATCGTAACTAAGGAATTTATTATGAAAGGTTTTTTCAATAATTCTTGACTTTTTCAAAAATACTAATGAGTTTTCTTAGTCATTAGCGAAATGAATGAGTAAAAATAACATTAAAATCATAAACCTTATTTTTAACTGTGTAAGTAGATGAGATTCGAATTTAAAATAATATAAAGTATCTTTGCAAATCTCTGAAAAAAAAAGAGATTTTGTTCAAGAACATCAGGAAATCTATAAAGAATTATTTTAAATAAGAACAAATAAATAAAGTCTCAACTGATGCAAGACTTTGTTATGTTCTGAAGTTCACTCTTGAATCGCTTGACATTTTTCTATAAAATTTTATCCCATAAAAATATTAGATCATTAAGTATGACTTGAAAAAGTTATCATATTTAGATATATTCATAGTAAAAGAAACTTATTCAAAATGATAATTTCCATACAAAGCTAAATTTAAATAATCGAATTTCGATCATTTCTGGTACATAAATCTCGACATAATTTACAAGAATAAAATCTAAAGAGAAATAGGATGATTAACTCAAACATTCTTCATGGTTTTTATATGCACAATTTTATTTTTATGATTAATATAATATTAATAGAAGGTTCTGAATGCTATTAAAATGGGAAATATGAATGATATATAGAGTGCCTACTAAGTAAATTCAGAAAGAAAACGTTGAATATTTCCATTAGGCCTCGACCAAACTGGTTTATTTGTTTACCAATGATAGATACATGTTAACAAATTAAATTCATACGAAGGCGATAAGTGAGAATCTATGGTAAGTATATTGTTTTATTTTCCTATCTGTAAAAAAAAAGTGAAATTTTCTTATTAAGATCATTAGTGATACTTAGCAAAGATTCTCACTAACCTTATCCGTATGAATTTGGAGTGTTAACATGTCTCTATCCTTGGTAGAAAAAAATGAGTCCTTTAGGTCGAATCATACTGGAGATATTTCAATCTGTCCTTTGTCAAGATACTTACTGGATACTTTTTTATGTACTAATGGGCAATTCACCTCCATATATAAAATATTTATCTTGTTCTATAGAGTTTTGTATGTTTTTTTTAAACTTATACCAATAAATCTCTTATGTCAGTATTGTTTGTTTATTTTTATTATGTTCATAAATTTTGATTGTTTCTAGTAGAAGAAACAAAAAGAGGATAAAACAATAGTAGCGAGAGAACATGCTAATATCCTGAAAGTTTAGAACATACTGAAATGTGGCGAACGTATTTTATAATTGTGTTCTTCTGTTGCTTCCTATAGATGCATGTAAAAAGAACTGAAAAAAAATTCTGATTGTGAATTTGTAGATAATCTCACATAAGAACTTCAGAGGATTTTAACTACTGTAACAAGCCTATCTACTAATAATATTGTAAGATTTTATTTCTATAATCAAAAAAGTTTACAACATTTATTATTTGTACAAAAATATTGATATGCTAATTCATTGAAAATCTTATGAAATCTTATATTTAAATCAAAAGTTTTTGATATTATTATCTCTGAATTGATCCCAATGTACTGCCTGATCGATTTAATTGTCTAATAGAAAATTTCATTAAATATTTTGTCTGAATAAACTCGCAAGACACGCTATGACAAAGCCGAATTTCT